GATGAAGGGAAGGGGAAACATGTGGAACAGAGACAGCATCCATTTTGTACCAGGGAGGTAAGCTCTCTGGTAATGGGCTGAAATGACAGCCCCTTTTTTGTCAATATAAATGTCAGTTGAATGCAGGAGGTGAGATGTAACTGCCAAACTCCCTTCAAACAAGGTCTCATGTGTGACATCTCCATCCTGGTCATAGAAGAGGGTGAAGTGGGGAGGATCAGGAGGAGAGACAACTGGATGCAGGCGTGATGGCCATGGCAGCCACAGAGCAAATAAGGAGAGCATGGAACCACTGGCATTTTGCTGTGGATTTGTGCCGCTGGCCCCCTGGGTCTGCGGACCCTATGCGCCACTGGCCTGCATTCTCGCAGACTGTGGATGGTGGCCGCCTGTCCCTCAAGATGGCGGTTCTTCTTCCAGCAGGCCCCAATATATGCCTGCCCGGGAGAGGCGCTTGAGCGCATACTGAAATCAGCAGCAGAGCAGGGTGTAACAGTTCCCTCAAGGAAAGAAACAGTCAGACCTAATGGGCCACACAAAACTGTAGCTCCATATTTAATCAATAAATCTGGACCCAGCAGGTTTACTGAGGGAGAAATAAAATATAAAAAGAGATTGACTGGCAGCCTGGACAAGCAAAAGGTCCCCCAGCGAAGGGGACCACCTGTCAGTCCGGTGCCTGGTGCACCTGAGCCTCAGCTTGCTGCTGCTGCGGTAATTCTTGGCCTCCCCTGTGGGGGCAGTCACGGGCCCAATGTCCCAACTCTCCACAGATAAAACATCCATCCCTCCGAGATTGGCCTCTCACTGGAGGCCTACCCTGTCTGCCTCTCTGCCTCCATCCTCCATAACCTCGACCACGCCCACGTCCCCCATGACATGGAGCATTCCAGAAAGGGCGGGGATTTATGCCACCCTGTTGCTGTGGTGGAGCCTGCATCTGAACCAGCTGCTTTCCCTCATTTCCTTCATTATTTTCCTTTTTAGCTTCAACCAGTGGCAACTTAAACAGTTGCACCTCCATGTCTCTGTGCTCTTCATCTCCCTCTCGCTGTGCATCTGCCTGCCTCTGAAGGTGGTGAACCACATGACGTTCCCCCACATCAGCCTCAGCGCCAGGCAGATAAGGGTCATTCACTCTGTCCTGCATCATTGAGACTCCTTTGTTAAAACCATCAAATTTTCCTATTAATTCAGACCCCTGGCGCTCTGATGCTTATAAACTTTTCTCCAAGCTGATTTTGTCCTGTCTAGACCTTCTCAGCATCTGTTGTTCCTTCACTCTTTCCTCTTCTTCCCTTTCAAAAGGCCAAAATTCAGTGGACCGCAGTCTGCCTTTGGGCGGCCGCGGAAGGTCCGCGAACCAGGGGTTGAATACCAACACCCGTCAGCCTCTGTATTATTAAAGTTGGAGTATTCCCTGTCCTTTCTATGTTTGAAAGGATCTTCAGAAACAATAGTTTCAGACAGAAATAGATTTGCTGACTTTTTCTCGGTATCTCTCAATTCTCCTCCGTGTACATGTACAATCTTGACAAGCCTGGAGGGGCAGAAGCAAGTGGTGCTCCGCTTTGATCTTGATTTAACTCGATCCACTCTTTCAAACATGCAAAGACAAATAACATAACAACACACATACCTCTGCATATAATCCACTATCAATTTGCTTATACTTAAAACATGCTTGAACGGAAGAAGCCAGACTTATCCAGTCCTTCCCCGCGACATCATTCCACCACCACTGGTTATCGAGCAGTACACAACTCTCTTCTACCACACCTAACAAACAAACAAAAAATTATAACAGTGTCAACATTCCCACACAATTACCTTCCTTATCAATTTCCTCTGTACTAAAGGATTAGTACAAGGTGTTAACATTTATATACCACACTCACAATATTCCATCCAATTAATCATTGAGCCTGATCATGCATACATCTTGCTTGACACACATCTCCATACCCACGTCTAAATGGGTCAATTCCACTACTATTCCTATGTCAACACTTAAACTGCTCCACAGCTTCACCCCACCTATGGAAACACAAAATCTCTCTTCTTTATTAATACAAATGTAGCAGAAATCAACAGCTAGTTTGGGTATGTAAATATAATCCTATTAATGTGTGTAGACCAATGTGAAATCTAAAATGAGTAATGTAATGCAAAACAGTTCTACTCTTTTTAGCTGTATACTGCTTCTAATAACTAGTGTCTCTGCCTGAGAGCATGTGTGGATGTGTGTGTGTGCATCTCAAGAATTCCTTCTCACTCAGTAAAACAGAAAAGGGAGTGGAGATAACTTTGCCAAATGGAAACTGTAATTAAAAATACTCAGTATTATAAAACTTTCCCCTTGAATTCAAATGTATTGTTGCTATAAAGACAGCTATTTTTGTTAATGAAATGCTAGTGACTAAGCCAATTCTGATATCTTTTGTGTTGCTTTTGAAAGAAACATGGTGTATGTATGTATATGTATATTCTCTGTGTATTTCTCCCCTCTTACTGCTCATATCCATACCAACTCACTTAAACACACAAAATAGCTCATTCTCACAGTTATACATCAACGAGAGGGGTAGCTTGTCCTCCCAACTCCAAAACTCGTGAATTAACTCACTCACACACGCTCACAGCCTGTCCACACACTGTGAGACT